GAAGAACATGGCTCAGTTTAATTAAAAGTCCTCCTTCGTTCTTATTTCTCTTTAAAACTTATCGAGTGGTCATAATTTTTACAAGTAATAATAACAATTTTCAAGTTAAACCCAAATCGTGTTCGGGAAGTCCAAAAAAGAAAGACGCACCTAAATTGTTGCTGTATAAAGAAAATTAATTTACCTTAAGTATAAATATCTAAACTTATGCATATGAATGAAGTTAATTAATTTATAATCACCCAGGAAACATTAAACATTGTTAAATACCGTTTTTTTATGTAATAAACCGTAGCAAAAACCATTATTTGTTGTTCTTATTTATCGTTAAATGTGTAATTTATGTTTCTTTGAAACATTTAGGTGTTATTTTGAAACCAAAAATGAGAAGATTATCGACAAAGAGGAAGTAAAACGTCCGACCTTGCAGTCACGACTTTATTACGTCATCCCATGATGATTAAATTTTCGTTTTTTTAACTGTTCTTACTTTTTCTTACCTCCATGGCACTTCTTTATTTCCGCGTGATCGATCATCAAAATGACGTAGCTGTGGTTATAAAAAGATAATCAGCAAAAAAATAAATCTTTTTAAGTAACTCATCGTCTTTACATCATCATAATAAAAAGAATTTTTATAAATAACTAATAAATCTTTAATTATTGTAAAATAATACTCCCTAATTATAAGTGGTATAAACAGCCTTTTTTTATTAAACTAAAATTGGTTTTCAAGGCACCTCGCCGAATAAACAACAGTTATTAGAAGATAACCTTCGCGAAATATGCGTTTTTATAAGAAAAGATAATAAAATCCTTGTTTTATTCTTTTTATAAACGATAAAGAAATTATTGGGTTTCTTTCCTACCTTTTTATTTACATACCATCTGCAGTTATCATGGCAAATGAGGCTGAAGGAATCATCAGCACGCGTCCTTACTTAACCTTGCTTGATGCGTCATCATCGCATCATTAGCTTTATTCTCCTATAAAAGATATCAATTATATTATAGTAAAAACGGGCAAAAATTTTTAAGTTTTACGATTAATATTATCTGTTTAATACATTAGTATATTTAAAATAAATATAAATAGATAAAATTCAACTCGGGTTATTCCTCAAGTTGCTCTATTCCATGTTCATAGATAAAGATGAGAAGAAGTAGATGAGTTGATAGACGAGGAAATCCTTGATGAGAAAAATACTGAGTATCCTAATGTATTGGTCACAACCTATTGTGAAAAATGCTATGAACAGAAATGCCTATCTTGAAATAAAATCTTGGGTACATTTTCAGAATAATATTAAAGCCAATAGGGTGATAAATCTTTTAAAATTAGACCTTGTTAGTTATGATAAAAGCAAATTTTCAAAATTTTGGTATTTTTCAAGAAAATCTGTCCAGAACTTTTTTGATACTGAAAGAAGAAGAAGAAAACAATATTTATTTGGACTTATATAAAAAATTATAACAATAAGAAATACGAAAAGAAATACATATATAAAATAAATATAAAAAAAGAGTCCAAAAGGGCTATAGACCTTAGTCTTCCTGCCCGTGATTTTGCGTTCGGTTTGGTTGTACTTGGGTCTTCTCAGTTGGGCCTTATTTTTTTAAAAAGTGTGAGCCGTGTTATGGGACAGCGGGTAAGGGAAAGGGGAATGATGATGAGATTTTTTAAGGCGTTTTTGGGGAAGTTCATAGTTGCTCTAAGGGCTAAGGATTGTAGACGGGAGTTTATAGGAGGAATCTTTGTAAGGTCGTAAAGGAGTTCGTTGGAAGGGTTGAAAAGTGGGTTGTCAGGGTGTCTAATGCGGGTGATAATTCTCAGGGCTGCTCTCTCTGCTACTTCCAGATGGTACTGTGATCCTCTCGGCGTTTCAGTCATGATTAATGAGGCATATTCGATAATAGGTCGGCATATTGAGGTGTATATGTGAGTAGCGCATTTGGTGGATATCCCTCGGCCTCTATATGAGAGTGAGCGGAAGTGTTTGGCGCGGTTTTTGACTTTCATTTTTACCTTGATGGCGTGGGTAGAGAATTTAAGGGTTCTATCCAAGGTAATGCCGAGGTAGTTACAAGTTGGTGATGCTGTGATAGGAGAAGATTGAATTATTATTGTGGGAGGAGCAACGCGAATAGGGAGGAAGGGGATGAAGAATTGGGTTCTGGAAGGATTTATCAGGATACGCCATTTTCGGTACCATTCCTCTATGTTTTGAATGAGCCTTAAGATTGATGATGGAATGTCTACATCATGTGCGACGAGAGTAGTATCATCGTCATAAAGCAGGGCGTAAGACATCGGATCGAAGACGTCTGGGTTGTCGTTGTAGATGTCATGGCAGTAGACGTTGTACAGTGCTGGCGAGATGGGAGAGCCTTGAGGGAGACCTTGTTGAGCGGTGAAACTGTGAGAGTAGAAGTTTTCCACTTTAACCAATGAGGAGCGGTCTGAAAGAAATTTTTTTAGCAGGTTAAGAAGATAAGATGGGATTTTCAACATAGCTAGCTTGTACAGTAGACCTCTGTGCCATACGGAGTCGAATGCCTTCTGAACATCCAGGAAGACTGCGGTGGATTGTTGTTTATGGAAACGTGCTACTTGGAAGTTTGAGACAAGCACTGCCAAGGGATGAGATGTAGATCTACCTTGTTGGAATCCAAATTGGTATGACGGAATCCTCCTTGCAACAACATCGAGCAGCTTGTTTGATACAGATTTAACTAACGAATCAAAATTCGAAAAAATCACTTCTAAAATTTATTTCTCAAAATTTTTCAAAATGGCTTGTTGCATTAAAAAGAGGATACTTTAATTAATAATTGGCGATATTTCCATAAGGATCCTTCAAAAAATTAATTTTTTTAGCGACTTTTGAAATTATTTGACATCGAAAATTTGATCAAAACTTGAAATATTGTTTTCTCAGAAACTAAACATTATTTTTCAAAACGGGTTGGTTCATTGGAAAGAGGACACTCTTATTAACACTTTGGGAAATTTTCATATGCATATTCCAAGAAATCGATTTTATACGAATTATTAAAATTTAATCCGCGAAAATTGAAAAGTTCGAAAAAATTGTCGATTATTTCAAAAATTTATTTCTCCAGAGCTAAAAGTGATTTTTCAAAGAGGCTTTTTGCATTAAAAAGAAGATACTTTAATTAATAATTGGTGATTTTTCCACAAGGATCCTTCAAGAAATTAATTTTATAGCGAATTTTGAAAATTATCGATAAAAATTGCTACATCGCAAATTTTATCAAAACTTCTAATATTGTTTTCTCAAAAACTAAAAGATATTTTTCAAAACGGGTTGGTTCATTGGAAAGAGGACACTCTTATTAACACTTTGGGAAATTTTCATATTCATATTCCAAGAAATCGATTTTATACGAATTATTAAAATTTAATCCACGAAAATTGCAAAATTCGAAAAAATTCTCGATTATTTCAAAAATTTATTTCTCAAGAACTAAAAGTGATTTTTCAAAGCGGCTTTTTGCATTAAAAAGAGGATACTTTAATTAATAATTGGTGATATTTCCACAAGGATCCTTCAAGAAATTAATTTTATAGCGAATTTTGAAAATTATCGATGAAAATTGCTACATCGCAAATTTTATCAAAACTTCAAATATTGTTTTCTCAGAAACTAAAAGCTATTTTTCAAAACGTGTTGATTCATTGGAAAGAGGATACTCTTATTAACACTTTGGGAAATTTTCATACTCATATTCCAAGAAATCGATTTTATACGAATTTTTAAAACTTAATCGGCGAAAATTGCGAAATTCGAAAAAATTGTCGATCATTTCATAAATTTATTTCTCATATACTAAAAGCGATTTTTCAAAACGGCTTGTTGCATTATAAAGAGGATACTTTAATTAATAATCGAAAGTGATAACAGTAACAGTTCTGTTAGTAATGAAAGTGATGATGAATTACAAGCGAAGAGACGAAACTGCAACAAGAGATTTAATATATCATATTGCGATTGTTACAATGAGGTTGCTAAAGACAAACCTGATATAAATAAAGTTGTATTCAATGAAAAAAGCCCTATTGGGGTTGAACTTAATTATAATCTACAGTGTCCAACACCTAAAAGAGATACTAATTCCTGTGAATGGTGGAATTCGGCCAAAGCCGGATATTTGGTAACTATCCGGTATTCGGCCCGACTTTAAAAAATGGCTGGATACCGGATAGTTGCCGGATATCCGTTACACCACTACCATTCACTAAAACAGTTCTTAAAGGGTAAGCCAATACAATTATATTATTATTAGAAATACAATACAATTAGGTTACAAACTCTGGGCGCACTTTGTGGCGAAGATGCATATCGCTATTTCTTTTTTCCTTATACTGGCAAGAAAAGCGGATCACAATCAGAACTTCTTGGCACTAGACTTGTTTTGAAATTGTTAACTGCTGTAAAGCAGTCCAAAAAGTTGTTGCTCAATATAATGAAGAAATATTGATTGAAATATTTTGATAATTTTTTTAGCAATCATGCCTTGTTTCGTCAATTAAAAGAAATGCAAGTACGTGCAATGTCCATTGCGACCAACCAAAGATCTAGAAAAGTCACCTCGAGAATCCTCGAGGGTTTAGCCGTACATCTCTTAAGATGGCAAAACCCGAATGTTTCTAGTTCTAGGTCTATGATATGGTAATTACAAGATTTAATTTTTTGCTTAAAATAAAAACGAATAAAAAGTTATTTTTATATATTTACATTTAATTAAATTAAAATTTAGCATACATCAATACACTTTTTCTTAATTAGTCACGTACACAACATCATTTAATTTTTAACATCTAATTTTTCTTATTGAATAAGATTAATTGTTTAAAATTATTTACAGCCAGCTAAAGATAAAAATCTTAAATTTCAAGAAAAAATAAACAAAAATCGTTGTTGACATCAAATTATTTATTTTTATTTAGAGGCCCACATTTTTCCTTTAATTTTAATTTTTTTACGAATTTCTAAGCCACCTTTAAGAATTTATATTTTTTCGGCCCAATTTCGGTTGGTACTATTGACATAATTCTGACATGTAATAATAAATTTTACTGCACTCTAAATATTAAAGATAGAGTGTTATAAAGGTAGTTTAGAAAGCTTCACTCTGCCCACACGATTCGGCGTGATTTGTTCACCCCGATTTTCAATTTTTATACATGTCACATAGAACTTTCTCCATAGGCGTGTTGCCTATTGTCTTCTGGAAAAACACCGTCTCAATTCTACAGGCGGGTACGTTTCGTAGTAATGGCAGCATCAACAAAAGACGACCGAAACGGCCCACTTGTCCCGGAAATTGAGCGCGGCAATGTTGCCACAACATTATTTGTGCCTGATCTTGTAAATTTTCAATTTGACCGGGATCTTTTAACCCTCTTGTTTCTGTAAATAAGTAAAAAGAAATACATAACATTTTTGAGACAACAAATATTTGTTTTTAAAGTTTTTTTTACCGGCTCTGAAGAGTACGATGGCCTTGAGACAGGCAAACTCTGCAGGATCCACGTGGACCGCTTTGAAACGCATCAAAGTATCGGCGAGTGTTCGGACGTCGGTGGCCGAATGTCCATTTTTGGCGTGCTCGTTGGCATTGAAGAGCGGACTTGCTTGGACATCCAAAGGCATGCACCATTGGATGGCGTTTAATAAGAATAATTCACTCCACGCTTCCTCCAAAAGTATTACCTTAAATTAAAAAAATCATACATTTATTTATGTTAAAAGTAGATTATAAAACAAATATTGGATGAAATAAATGAATAAATTTGTTGATTCATACTCTGAAACTCGCAATTATACTAAAATGGCAAATAATAATGCGCGTAATACAAATACGAATCCTTTCGCAAACGTAACAAAAACATTTTGAATTCATTTTGCAAATGTTTAAGTTTTGGCTGTCAAATGTCAATATTACCACAGAATAACCAGAAAGTACACTGATTTCGGTTCCTTTGATGTTGGAGAAAGCACATTTTTTGACTTTGATTCAACCTTGACCCATCTTTAAGAAGGGAATCCAACGATCTGGCAACGTTGATCTCGTGGAAAGAAGCGAAGCATGCGACGTTGCCAGGCATAGTGGTTATTTTGTGATATTACCAACTTAAACTCAAAAAACATTTTGAGCTGATTTTTTTTATTGCACATTCTATAAAATTATCGCTGTTTTTTCCAAATTTATCTTTACTTTTTAGCAGAGTATCGGAATTTAAAAAATTCATAATCCAGAACCAATCCTGACAAACGGATTGAAAATTCGCAAATACAGCGCATCAAATTACGTTGAGAATCGTTCTCATTTGAATTTGTAAACTTGTGTAATTAATGTGTTAATTAATCCTCCATGCATTTGAATCNATTTTTGAGACAACAAATATTTGTTTTTAAGGTTTTTTTTTTACCGGCTCTGAAGAGTACGATGGCCTTGAGACAGGCAAACTCTGCAGGATCCACGTGGACCGCTTTGAAACGCATCAAAGTATCGGCGAGTGTTCGGACGTCGGTGGCCGAATGTCCATTTTTGGCGTGCTCGTTGGCATTGAAGAGCGGACTTGCTTGGACATCCAAAGGCATGCACCATTGGATGGCGTTTAATAAGAATAATTCACTCCACGCTTCCTCCAAAAGTATTACCTTAAATTAAAAAAATCATACATTTATTTATGTTAAAAGTAGATTATAAAACAAATATTGGATGAAATAAATGAATAAATTTGTTGATTCATACTCTGAAACTCGCAATTATACTAAAATGGCAAATAATAATGCGCGTAATACAAATACGAATCCTTTCGCAAACGTAACAAAAACATTTTGAATTCATTTTGCAAATGTTTAAGTTTTGGCTGTCAAATGTCAATATTACCACAGAATAACCAGAAAGTACACTGATTTCGGTTCCTTTGATGTTGGAGAAAGCACATTTTTTGACTTTGATTCAACCTTGACCCATCTTTAAGAAGGGAATCCAACGATCTGGCAACGTTGATCTCGTGGAAAGAAGCGAAGCATGCGACGTTGCCAGGCATAGTGGTTATTTTGTGATATTACCAACTTAAACTCAAAAAACATTTTGAGCTGATTTTTTTTATTGCACATTCTATAAAATTATCGCTGTTTTTTCCAAATTTATCTTTACTTTTTAGCAGAGTATCGGAATTTAAAAAATTCATAATCCAGAACCAATCCTGACAAACGGATTGAAAATTCGCAAATACAGCGCATCAAATTACGTTGAGAATCGTTCACATCTGAATTTGTAAACTTGTATAATTAATGTGTTAATTAATCCTCCAAAGCAGCTAGACTTGGACCTAGCTCTATTAATATGGACACCAATACATTTATATCTTGAAGTTGAAGTCTTGAGTTTTCACATCTGCAGTAATATTTCATCATCTGCACCATTCAGAGGAATTAGTATCTCTTTTAGGTGTTGGACAGTGCAGATAATAATCCAGTTCAACCCCAATAGGAATTTTTTCTTTGAATACAATTTTATTTATATCAGGCTTGTCTTTAGCAACCTCATTGCAGTTTCGTCTAATTTTCTTCTCTTCGCTTGTAATTAATCATCACATTCATTACTAACAGAACTGTCGCTGTTATCACTTTCGATTATTAATAAAAGTATCCTCTTCTTAATGCAAAAAGCCGTTTTAAAAAATCACTTTTAGTTCTTGAGTAAAAAATTTTTGAAGTAATCGACAATTTTTTAGAATTTTGCAATTTTCGCCGATTAAGTCTTAAAAATTCGTATAAAATCGATTCCTTTGAATATGAGTATGAAAATTTCTCAAAATGTTAATATAAGTGTCCTCTTTCCAATGAACCAACACGTTTTGAAAAATAACTTTTAGTTTTTGAGAAAACAATATTTGAAGTTTTGATTAAATTTTCGATGTTACAATTTTCAACGATAACTTTCAAAATTCGCTATAGAATTAATTTCTTGAAGGATCCTTGTGGAAATATCGCCAATTATTAATTACAGTGTCCTCTTTTTAATGCAACAAGCCGTTTTGAAAAATCCCTTTTAGTTCTTGAGAAATAAATTTTTGAAGTAACCGACAATACTTTCGAATTTTGCAATTTTCGCCGATTAAGTTTTAAAAATTCGTATAAAATCGATTTCTTGGAATATGAGTATGAAAATTTCCCAAAATGTTGATAAAAGCGTCCTCTTTCCAATAAATTAACCCGTTTTGAAAAATAACTTTTAGTTTTTGAGAAAACAATATTTGAAGTTTTGATCAAATTTTCGATGTAATTTTCATCGATAATTTTCAAAATTCGCTATAAAGTTAATTTCTTGAAGAATCCTTGTGGAAAAATCACCAATTATTAATTAAAGTATCCTCTTTTTAATGCAATAAGCCGTTTTGAAAAATGACTCTTAGATCTTGAGAAATAAATTTTTGAAATAATCGACAATTTTCTGAAATTTGCAATTTTCGCCGATTAAGTTTTAAAAATTCGTATAAAATCCAGTTCTTGGAATATGAGTATGAAAATTTTCCAAAGTGTTAATAAAAGTGTCCTCTTTCCAATGAACCAATACATTTTGAAAAATAACTTTTAGTTTTTGAGAAAACAATATTTGAAATTTTGATAAAATTTTCGATGTTGCAATTTTCATCGATAATTTTCAAAATTCGCTATAAAATTAATTTCTTGAAGGATCCTTGTGGAAATATCGCCAATTATTAATTAAAGTGTCCTCTTTTTAATGCAACAAGCTGTTTTGAAAAATCACTTTCAGTTTTTGAGAAATAAATTTTTGAAATGATCGACAATTTTTTCAAATTTTGCAATTTTCGCAGATTAAGTTTTAAAAATTCGTATAAAATTCAGTTCTTGGAATATGAGTATGAAAATTTTCCAAAGTGTTAATAAAAGTGTGCTCTTTCCAATGAACCAACCCGTTTTCAAAAATAACTTTTAGTTTTTGAGAAAACAATATTTGAAGTTTTCTTAAAATTTTCAATTTTCAACGACAACTTTCAAAATTCGCCATAGAATTAATTTCTTGAAGAATCCTTGTGGAAATATCATCAATTATTAATTATAGTATTGTCTTTTTAGAGTTGCTTCGTTAGTTAAATCAGCATCAAAAAAGTTCATTTTGTATCTTGGATATCTGGCTTTTCGCAAAATCACTATCCGTTCCATCACTACTTTAGATCTATTTTCTGTTGATCAGAAAGGATATTATTTCGTGACATCCACCACTCAAATCGAGACTTTATTAGACTTCCATAACTCTTCATAATATTAATAAAGTTGGTCTAACGGAAATCTGGGACTATAATTGCTAATTTGTCTTATAACAAGCAAAACAAGTACGATTTTCATCAGCTGTATACATTAACTTGACTTATATCCCCATAAGCAAATAAGAACTTTTCAAGTTCTAGTAGCAAATCTTCTATTAGAATATAATTTATCCTTTATAATTTATTTTTCTCATTTCAGTCAGGAGAAATTATTTCGCTATGAATATTGTTATGTTTTTATGTTATTATTTCTTACATTTACCGCAGAGAAAACCTCCCCAGGTTCTGAATCTTGTGTAAGATTACTATTATTTTAACAAATTAAGCTAAAATAAATAAATGTTTCTTAACTTAATTAAATTCTTCTACAGTCGTTAAAAACTTTTTTTGCTGTTTAGAAAGCACTGTGATGGTCGACTCCATAGAAATTAGGAATAGATACTTTTGAGTAAATTATGAAGATACTATTGGCAGCAAGATTTAAACCCATCAAAGCACAATAGACATCTTTACACCGACTTAACACAAGTGTTGAACTTATTTAGATTAGAAAGGAAATCGCCAGCTTTGCAGAACCGAACACACCTGATTACAAGCCAAGTTTTCTATTACAACCTCATTCGAGTAACTGAGCGTAGCCCTTAACCAATTACAGTGAGACTATCTACATCTCCATACATTTTCCATATTATTTAACACATTCCATACAAAGTCGAATTTTGTTGTGGCAACGCAGCCGAAGACTAATTCTAGAATTCCTCACGTTACTCGTGGTGATACGACCCACATCTAACTCGTAACTTGAGCCCTATAAAAATCCTAACACCATAAGTGATAACACAAAGCCTATACCGTATACATTTCTATAGAGTGGCGTTCTCTACTCACTTCTAATGGGATTGTGATAAATGCAATGTAGTTTTATTCAATGAAGTATCTAAAAAGAGTTATTGATGATACAGAGAAGTTAGCGACACCAAACTGTAAGAGTAATGTCTAAGACCTTAGGAGGTAATGTAATGGCTAAAACCATGGAGATGCTGGATGATTGATGTTGAAACATACCTATAGAAGAAAAACGCCGTCAGAATGCACATAGATAAATAAGAAATTTGTTATACCATTGAACGCCACTTTTGGGGTTGTACTCTTCACGAAAGTTTCTATCAAATTACAAATTTCGCAGGTTTCGTTCGCAGTTTTGGAAATCTTGCTTATTTTATCACTACCTTCCAACTAATGAGTTGTCCGGTTTCTTTTTGTAACCCTATGAGAGGCGTGTACGCTTCCTAGTTAATGTCCACTTTCAGTGCTTAGCTGATCAAAGATTTTTGTCATAAAAGAGAGTTTTCAAAAAACTCTACAATGAAAGGTATCATAACTACTGAAACTATCTGCCTTCAAGAGCAATGCGTTAGAATTGAGATGCCAAAAACTGAGATTATTAAAAAACGACATTCACTTCTTCTTGTTCAGAAATCCATTTAGTCAAGTCTCTTAGTTATGCATGGTTTGTGTTAAAATTTGTTGGGTCAATTGGACTTTATAAGTGTGGAGATGCAAATTTTTTGTGGAAGTAGGATTGTTGATATTTTCAATTCTTCTGCACGATGATAAAGTAAGGAAACTTCTTACATCGTTATTTATAGATGGTAATACTGTGGCAATCGATAATATAAATTTGAAAACGAGTTTAAAGATGAACAAGAAAGTGCAGATTGAGGTCGATACAATACTGTGTGAGTTACAATAACAAAAATATAGAGAACAAAATATTGGAGATGATACAGAAAATTGATGAAGAGTATCAGAGTATTATGGAGTGCAAAGAAATTTAAGAAATTAATAGAACCAGAAGATGTTTAGGAAAGATAAAGTAGTGTGCAGACCGAGAAAACGAAAATATTTTTAATAACTATATAATTAATAATCTTCTTGGGTTTTAAATATAATTAAAAATATAAATGTTACATTTTAATATAAATTGAAAAATTATTTTGTCATGTTCTTTTGTACCTGATCTCGAAATGGTAAACTAGCAAAGCTTGGTAAATTCTTGGCCCATTTAACGGCCATAAAGAGGAGCCTGGCAGATGTTTCATAAACAGTTTCGTGGGTTGTTGGATATAAACTCGCGGTAATGCCAGCTGGGTGAGGTTCTGGTCGGACTGGGCCACTGCTCGAAGACACTCCACAACCGGATGTGGGGGTGTCCTCCTCTTCATTTGTCACATCAATACTTTCTTCTGTAAAAACGACAAAATCAATTCTATTTAATAACACAAAAGCTTAATCATAAATATATAAAAGATTTATTGTAACAAATTAAAAATTACGAAATGAGCTCGATATTTAGATATCGAAAACTCATCATTTTTAAAGTATTAATTTTAATTTGAACCATGCGCATTGAATGGTATTTAATATTTAAAAAAAGTATAAGCTTTTAAACTCTGTTTAGGTAGACCCATCTAACGAGACCCTTGAGAATTAAATCGTATTTAATCAATATTACAAAGTTAATCTAACTTAAACGAGATGGCGCTGAAGTAATTTTTGAAACTCACCGTCGTTATCGCTGTTTGTAGAGTCCTGTTTTGGTGTTGGTTCTCGATTAATCATAGGTGGCGGTGCTACGGTGTGTAGAAGTCCAGGGCCGTAACGAGCGGGTGATAACGCCATCGTCAACGAAACTGGTGGACTGGAATTAAAGGGCCTATTAAAGATAATAATAATAATCAGAATATTTTTTGAATTAATATTAAAAAATAAAATTTTAAAAAATTATCTAACTCTGGTTCGTTATTGATTTAAAAAATTAAGCACGTAAATCGTCAAAGCTGGTGTTATAATACGTTTCACGGTAAAACGATCAAAAGATGGGATAGCTTTTGAAATTTTAACGTATGATCTGGTTGGTTCGCCATCAGAGGCAAGCAGCAGAATCCAAGAGAGCTTTGAACTTCATCGAGCTCATTGAGCTTTATTGGATACACATTAAAAGCTCACCATCACTTTTAAACAAAAAAGGAAATAAAACAAGCTAAAGCGAAGCTAAATTTTTTAAATAAAATTTTTTTTATTTTTAATTTAGTAAAACGCACCCAAAAACTCCAACAGCAACAGCAGCTTCGCGTAAAGCTCTTTCTTGTTCTGCGCTCATATCTCGAAGAGCTTCCGGTCGAATCGTCGCCGTGTTTCTCGGTTGACGTTCATTTTGAACGGCTGAAACATAAAAAACTTCGCTTTTGCATTGAAAATGTTAACACACAAATTTATAAATTCACAACATTTATGTAAAACAAAAAGGAATTTCTATCTGTATCCGATTAAAATGTGCCAAAGAGTTAACTGAAATTCAAACAAAAAAGATCTCTGTGGGGTACCAATTATGTGAACCCTAAATTACCCCTTTTACTTTTAAATTCGACGTTCAACGTCGGTTCGTGTTTGTTACAAGGTTGGGGACCTCCTCAATTTGTGGCAAACACGCGTATGTACCACGACACGAGGCCCTTTTTCAACGACACGTGTCTTTATCGTTTGGTGTGGGATTTTATTTGAAGAGTAACGTATGCAAAAAATAATTAAGCGTAATATTTAAATGAAGTCATCTCAGTTGGAAGTTATGTTTTTTTATACCCTTTTAAACATTTCAACCCTTTTTTATAATTATAAGATTTTTAAAAGTTTTGTTTTTTTTCTGGAATTATTACATTAACAACCCCCATCAATCATTCAACAATTTCCTATATTCGAAATCAACTTCAAAGATGGATTTAGCTTCTGCAACACTGAAAATCCCTTTTCGTCTTTGGTACTTATATAATAACAAACAGTCATAGTACGGGATTTTCCCCGGGACGCTGATTAATGCGTTCCAAAGCCGGTTAATTCCCACCAAACGCTCTACCAAAACACCCTCTCTTTCGTTTAGACTGTGAACAAACTTAACGTCCAAAATCCGTTTCGGGAGCATTCTAACGGTTCCCAAACGGGGGCAAAGGCTAAAATCGCATGCGTATTACCGGCAGAGAGTGTAATTTACAATCTTGAATAGATGGCCGACGACGACGGCAAAGTGAAGAGAGAGAGGAGAGTGAGTGGTGGGATTCCACTTTGGCAAAATTGTTTTTGATGCTCTCTCCCCCGGGGGAGTGCTACAAGGAACTTGAAATGCCGTAAGGGGTGGGAATGGCGGGGGCGGGATTACGGGGTTGGGATTAAAATTGCTTTACTTTTTCCCCCCTGCAGCGTTCGACGCCGCCATTCGGTTTTATTTCGAAAAAGGGGTGTGTAGAAGATGGTTTGAGACACAGAATTTTATGGCTTTAATTTCAATACTCTTTGTAATGGGGGGAACGTTTTATTGTTTTTAAAGAAATACGTACAAAGAATATGTGGACACGATATCGGAGCAATAATTTCATTCTGGAGTTAAACCTGTATTACTGTAAAAAAGCAATTCTTTATAGAAAAATTTGACTTTGTTAATTACACGACATTTATCAGTATTACTATAATTCTTTTAAGCTTGATTGTTACAGGAGTTACAGTGTATATTAATAATTAACAAAAGATTGTCATCATACTTGTCGAGAATCCTTAAATTGGAACAAAAATCTGCCCAAATTGGCAGAAATTATAGAATTTGTACGTCATCCCAGATATCTTTTAATATCATCAAAAGAAACTGAAATAAGCCATGCGGACCGTCCACTCGGCAAAGATAGTACTGCTGTGTGTTCCAGACTGTACGTCGCGTCTTTATTTCTCTATGTAGGTAAAATAAAGGCGCTACGTTCTGTCTGGTACACAAATCAGCCGGATTGGACAGAACCTCATTTTCTCCGCATACGATTTTTCACGAAACTATATGGAATATCGAAAAAATAAAATATGCTCCTCATTAAGAACACATCAAGCTACCATCTGTTAGAAGTTGAAATTTTTTTGTTAAATAGTGTGTGAGAAAAAAAAAATCGCAAAGAGTTTTTATTTAACTCGCGATATAAAGAAAACTGCTGATCTGAAAATTTTCAAATTACGTATAAACGTTACGTAGAAATATTTAGTGATTACAACAAGCTATACCACAAATTGTTTCATCGAGCGGTTGCATTGATATTCAATGTGAGGAGCCTTAATTTTTGGCACGGATGGTAGAAGTAGCGGATTTCCTATTTAATTGGACTATATAGTTCTGAAAGTCTTCCACAGCCTTTATTTAGTTTCAGGTTAATATGGAACTTTGCTTTTACATGTTGGGAATGATGGAGTGGGTATTTGTTAAAAGGAGAGAATGCTTGAGATACATGTTCCACGAAATTTGCTTATCAGTGTAACATTCTTTTCCGTTTTCCATAATAGATGCACCTTCATGTCACTTTTGTAATAATCCTCTGGTGATCATCAATCATTGCATCTTCACCTGCTTTGATATATCAAACATATTACGAGTAGTGTATGATTTTCACTGAAGTCTTTGTTTCTTTTGCGCTTTTAGCAATTGTATTAGTGATTTCTTTTGCATCAATTTGTGCTTTAGAGCTTAAGGGGCGATGTTTTCTTAGATTGATGCACAATTTCTTTAAATTGTTTCCAGCTTATTTAGACATATTTAAGATAATTTTTTCTTGGTATTAATAGGGATATTGTGTTACATTTAATTACCACCGAAAGATGATCTGAGCCAAGTTCAGCAAAAACTCTTTGCTGCATCTGTTTATTGAAGTGCTTGTTTAGTTGGATATCTGGTTGATAATCAGTTCTGTATGGATAATAAGTAGTAAGCTCCAACCGACTACGGAGCTGCAATTTAAAAATTATGAGTACTCGATAAACTCAGTATTTCCTTTGATGTTTCTTATAATTGTATGGTTGTGCTTCATAGTATCTTTTTTTATACAAACTATATCTATATTATGCTTAGCTAGAAGGTAATTAGAATAGCACGCTGTTTTTTGATATAATTAACAAACCAATTTAGGAGTGTTAAGGTAATGGTATATTTACATGAAGGATGTTTTTAGGTGGAAGTTAAGGATGATTTTCTGGAAATGCTTGTACTCTCTGGGTTGGGTGGCAGGATGAAGCATATCTTTAATAAAATGTTTTCGAGTACTTTTTATACATCTAGGAGATAATGTACAATAATCTTTTGTGAAGTCGTATCTTTAGCTGATCTTTTCCTGTATTCTATAACAACTATTGACTGTATCGACATCAATGGCATAGACAAGTTTGTTTTACTTTGTTTCTAATATATTTCAACATAATCTCTCAAGACTGGCCTGACCTCCCTCAATATATTCCTCATCCACTATTAGTATCGCTAAACACTGTTTCATCATTCAACATTATTCCTGATGTCTGTCAACATTATCCTCGATATACTCCAATATCCTGTGGTACTTTTCACATAATACATTTTATCAACATTCTTAATTCATACCATAACTCTCTCAATTTCAAATATCGTCCCTAGTCTATGTCAATATCTAGTGTCATAATCGCCTCTAACATCTCTCAACATTGGCCTTTGCTGTCCTTAATAGCTTCAACTGTAAATCGTTTCTGATATTTTCTAATATTGTTGCTGGACTACTCACTGTGGCAACACTGCCTCTCGCTGATAGTTGATGTGGTTGTGATAAAGTTGTTGAAAACCCACTTTACAACCCAAAAGTGAGCGAAAAATATTACCAACAGGCATCTCTAAGCCTTTTTGATGAGAGTGCAGTTATTATTACTGTGCGACTTATTGGAAAATTTATGAAAAATTTCATAATTCTTAGTTCCCATAATATCTGGTATTCTCAGCGTCTCCACTACTTCTTTGGCAAAACTTTTTTTATTTCCTTTCGTAAAGTTCGCTTGAGTGGAACTTTTTGACTGTGTTGCTGCCATTCGAATTCCCACGTCCTGGTTTTGATCATCTTTTGACATCTATTTCATTTTGACTTGTATGCATTTTCAAACCAAATCTTTTCTTGGGCATGTTTTTCTCATACCTGTTATTGCTTTATTTCTGTACTTATAAAATTATTCAATTTCTGTAGCGATCCTTTATAAATTCTGTTTTATATACATTTCTTGTTTTTATTAATACATATATGTTGACGTTTGCTCATGTTATATAGAAGAGGCCCTCTTCTATGCAAAAATAAAAAGAGAACAGGTTTGCCAAAGATATATACAACTTGTCATAGACTTAGGCCTTATTGCCTTGAATATTATTTCAGATCATCAATTAATAACAATGTAACGAGCTGGAAACGTAGAGAAGTCATAACAGAAAACTACACCCTGAAAAGTCCGTGTTGATAAACAAAGAAAGTAAGATTTAAGTTGAGGTTGTTGAACCGAATACAAAGAGACGTGAGAAAATTGAGTACTACAAATTCGAGGACTTGTAAACGTGAGTGTCGTAACTAGTGATGGAACGGATAGTGATTTTGCGAAAAGCTGGATACCGGATATTCGGCATCCCCTTCGGCCGGATATCTGGTTATCCGGCATATCGCCTTGTTGCATTAAAAAGAGGATACATTAATTAATAATTGGTGATATTTCCACAAGGATCCTTCAAGAAATTGTTTTTTTAGCGAATTTTAAAAATTATCGATGAAAATTCCAACATCGAAAATTTTATCAAAACTTCAAATATTGTTTTCTCAAAAACTAAAAGTTATTTTTCAAAACGGGTTGGTTCATTGGAAAGAGGACACTTTTATTAACACTTTGGGAAATTTTCATACTCATATTCCAAGAAATGGATTTTATACGAATTTTTAAAACTTAATCGGCGAAAATTGCAAAATTCGAAAAAATTGTCGATTATTTCAAAAATTTATTTCTCAAGAACTAAAAGGGATTTTTCAAAACGGCTTTTTGCATTAAAAAGAGGATACTTTAATTAATAATCGGTGATATTTCCACAAGGATCCTTCAAGAAATTAATTTTATAGCGAATTTTGAAAATTATCAATAAAAATTGCAACATATTTTATATATCGTATTGGGATTGTTACAATGAGGTTGCTAAAGACAAACCTGATATAAATAAAGTTGTATTCTATGAGAAAAGTCCTATTGGGGTTGAACTTGATTATTATCTGCAGCGTTCAACACCTAAAAGAGATACTAATTCCTATGAATGGTGGAGTACTAAGTAATAAGTTTTTAATATCCGGCCAAAGCCTAACTATCCTGTACCAAGCCGGATACAGAATACAGATATTGCAATAGTTCAATATAGAAATCCACACAGTCAGGTTTTCTAAAGCTCTAAATGATATAAATTTGTTGGATTTTGAATGGAGACTTTGCAGAAATGATAACGTTTTGCAAACTGCTTAAAATTTAGATGTCAGAGTTTTGGCAGAATGTTAAAAAAAATTGTAATTCAGACGGAACTGCAAAATATAAAACCGGATAGTTGCCGGATATCCGTTCCACCACTAGTCGTAACGCAACGCGAATACAAGAGAGAGAAAAATTAAAGATACTTCATAGTTAAGATAAGCTGAGATCTGAAATGTAGTTTCTCAATTTATATTATTAAAACTAATTTAGTGTGAGATAAAATTCAAGTTTCTTGCCGTAAGCTCGATTGAACAACAAAATTGTCCACCATAACAAAAGTAAATGTGATCGTTTCAAGTGTATAGGGTTAATCCCTTCTTTCAGGAAAACTTGACTATTACTAAAACGGTAAAGGGTATGACAAAGCGTTTATAATCCTCATCCGCAACGCTCGGTGTCCGCTTCGTTCCACAAAACGCCGCCGCGGTTCGCCAAACGAAGCCAATTTAAACACAACGGGAGATGCAAAGTAGAGCCCCAGGATAAAGGACTACGCCCATAAACCAACCTTCCCCTAAAATTTAACTCCTTTTATCATTTCTTCAATTTACTTTTAATAATCAAACTTTAAAATACAAGTTAAATTGATGTATAAGTCTTGATATTGAATTTTTAACAAAAAAAATTTTTAGGAGTATTTTTTTGGTTTTATTTAGGTCCCAGGAGGAATTGAGAAAAGTCTAGAAAGGAAGAGATGAGGGGTTGGTGGGCGTGGCGTGTCGTCTTTTAGGGTAGAAGGGAGGGTGTGAAGGGGACAAAGTTGGGGTTGAAAAGGTCCTGGGAGAAGTGAGAAGGCCCGGCAAGATGAACATCCCCAAAGCCCAAAGTTGCCCAAAGCGTTCCTCTCCTGAATACTGATCGAAACTCCGGAGCCAAATTCTCATAAATACATTATCCTGCTCTCCAATTTAATCTCGGGGGGTGATTTTACCACCTTACTTACGAATTCTCACAAGAATAATTTTCACTTTTAAGTTTACTATAATCAACTACAATTTTATTTTTTTAATGACAGGATGATTGATGGTGAAATAAAAATTTAAAAAATTTTATTTTTGTTGTTGTTTTTCATTATTTCTATGAAACGCATTGGGAATAACAAATTTTTGCACGCGTAGTCATTAATAGTCGGTAAAACGATAAAAAATAGTAGAACTGGAATTTTAATTCAAAAAAAAATTGTTTAAAAACTTACCGTCTTTATTCATTCCCATCGCTAAACACTTTTTTAATCGACACGCTTGACATTGATTTCTGTGTGCTTTATCAACAACGCATCTTCCTGTGCCAGCTTGACATCTAAAAAACAAAATTCGAAATTATTGAATTTTAATACGTGAAAATGTAATTAAAGATTTATGTTCTTATATTTTTTTAGGTTAGTACTAAAATAATGATCGTTTTTAATAAACGAACTTTACTTTTACTATCGCTTTCGAGATTCCCCACCTGATGCCCAACCACCACAGCGACATAGGATGAAAATCCATTTTCTCGTTGCGTTTTACTCATCCGGATACGGAAATCGTGGGGAGGATTTTTGGGGGGAACGGGGTTTGGATGGAAAAGCGAAAGAGGAGTAACAGCAGTAATAAAAGTGGGGATTACGTTTTGGGCGGATGTCCCATTTAAAAGCGTAGCGACGCCATCGTCTTTCGTCTTGGGGACATCTGCGACGCAACTTTTTACAAGAGGCGGCGCTCGCAAAAGATTTCTCCTGCGGGAAAAATGAGGGATTCGCTTTTCAATTAAAGTTCGCGACCCGTTTCTCGTACCCGGACCATGAGAAATCTACGGGATGGAAAAGAACTGGCGAAACGAATCTCTAAGCCAGGATTCTTCTTTTAGTACCCACCCTCACCCTCCATCGTTCAAAGAACGATACAAAAATCCTAGGATCAAAAGAAAAAAAGTAATTTTCTTTTGCAATTATGTAAGAGGATGATTTTTAATAATAATAATAATGTCTATTTGCCTCAAAAACCAATATTTACATAAATATATACATTCATAACAAATATAGCCCTTAACTGGTCTGGTGACTCATTCAACGCAATCATTGCAGACTGGTTTTGTACACTGTAGACAAACTGGCTTTTTACAAGACACAAGTATTTTGCCATTTTATGTTTTTTTGAAGGACACAAGTAGCAAATTTTACGTTTTTCTAGAATCAGATCATATGTCTTGGGTTCTTCTGCACCTGGGACTCCAAGTATTCTACCAATAGTACTGCGTAGTTCGCGTGGGATAACCGACATCGCCAAACGCCGTCTCGTGTGATCCTCTACCAATTGCTTGGCTAGCTGCATTCCAAAAATAGTTTTTTCTTTAATGGTCGGATTATCTCTATAACATTGGTGTAAGATATATGATTGATCACAGAAATGTCATCTGTGATCCATCGTCGAGTGCGACGACTTGAGGTGCTTTTCGAACATTTTTCGTCCAGAGAATCTACTCCGCCTTTATTTTCATTGTAGTAGGACACTATTTCGGGCTTCTGTACTGATGGATCATCAAATCGTCTGTTATGCATGGATGATATTAGTATCGTAGCTTTTCCAATTTTACCAACATATAAAATCAACGTGCATTCTTCCCTGAATCCACACAGTGTTGAGTTAGCTTCTCTTTTCTTATTGGGTTGAAAAAATGGTGGTATTTCGGCCTTATTTTTTTTAGTGAACCACGTACATCAAATTATTTTTCCATAACAGATCAACTACTTGTATGGAAAAATACCAATTGTCAGCTGTAATATTACGATTGCTGTTAAAAATTGATTTCGCTAAACGTAACAAAGCTTGAGTATGCTTTAGTAACCTCTTCTCTTCACCATTGAGGCCAAAACCATCAGAATCTTTTCCCGTATAGATGTATGCGTTATATAGATAAGTTTCGTGCGTCGGTAAGGCATTGTATTTTGAGGCCGTACTTTATTAGGTATGTACACCTTGAAGGCACCTTCCTCAGAAGCTTACAAGCAGTTACTACAGATGAAAATCTGTAGTAACAGACTGTCCAAGTCCATAAACATTTTGACAGTTTTCTACAAATGTGTTGAAAATAAATGAAATTGCTGCAGCCGGATTGTTCTTCTTCCGCTCTTTCCTGTCCTGAGAATTGTCGAATTGTATAGCCGTCCAAAGAACACCAAATCTCTTCTTACTCATGACTGCTCTAAATATTTCTCTTCCACTTCCGTCCGTTGCGAATATACGGTCTATATTTTCATGACTCGAATTGAATATCGCCAAAAATGCCTTCAGCTCAGTGATATCTGCGTCTGTTACATGATGTCTGGCTTGTAGAGAATATCTCTCATGAATTGAACTTAGTTTTTGGTTGGTGTGCTGTAGAATATGTTCTAATATTTTGTTATCGAAAAGCAAATTCCAGATTGGCAATGGATTCGCAGCATCACCGAGGTTACGTGCTTTTGATTTTAGAATCGGAATTTTTGTTATAATATTATGCTTTCGGGTCCGAGATGAAGGCAAAACTTCCGACGTACACCATCTATACCGATTTTTGCCATATAAATACTTCTTGTTTACATTATCTACAATATTTACACTTTTATCTACGAAGTCCTCGCTAGCAGACAGTTCTGAATCACTATCATGCTCTAATTCAATTAGGTTGTCTTCCAATAGGTTATCTATGTCACTGTGGCCGCTGTCTGTAGTATTTTCGTACCATTTTAAAAGAGCTTTATCAAATTTCGGGATCGTCACAAACTACTCGTTTTGAAGACCCGGCCATATTTCGGTAAATCTACCACTAACAAAAAAGTTACACAAATGGACAGACGTATTATCGATATCTTACCGGTTATAACTTTTAAGCCGATGTTACAATCACGGTGCAAATTTGTATACTAATGATGCTCAGAGAGGTGGGGGATTAGACGGAAGGACAGGTTTGTACACGCTTTTAGTAACCGTTGAGAAACAAGTATTTCAATCGCATAGTCTGCTGGACTACACCTGACCAGTTAAGGGATAGACATCAAGACAAACGGATCAATTTGTCGCAATAAGTGATATCTTCCAAGAGACCCAACTGGTAACAATGTATATGTAATTTTAAATAAATAAATTATGGCTACCAAAAAAGTAATACTATAATTGAGTTATGTAATGTATCGACAGTCAGTTACTACAAGGAAGGAAATAGACACAAAAAAGTGCAGTAAAAGATAAATGAACGGCAGACTAGAGAAGAAAACAAACACGTACAGGTCAAGAAGAAGATAGTTGAAGAGATAACAGATGACAACGGCAGAGACAACGGCAGAGACAACGGCAGACAAATCGTCCCACAACTCAATCGACTGTATGTACTGTAAAAGCTCTATGGTAGATTTCAGTACTATGGACTGGAAATATGAGTGTAGAGTCCAACATTGATCGAGTGGGCAAGTCATGTGATGCTAAATAGTGAAAGGCATTAGACAAATAAGCAGGAGTGCGGGTATGGACAATTTCGTACAACATAGTAAGCATACGAAATGATCTACGACTCTGGCAAGTCATCACCTGCAGGGTGTTACGATATGGAGCAATGTGCTGAAACTTTCCTAAATCAAAAATGTACCGTGTACAATTGTTCTAAATTCTTTCCCGTCAGAAGTCTTCTTCAGTGGGCTTATTCCACCCTAAAGCTATTGTATTCCAACAAAAACCTTTTACATCAAAAATTAAGAATACTTGTGTTATCCATCTTTAACTACGTGGATCCGCTTTACCATTCTTGCATTGATGCTGCGGACAGAATTCGAATTCAACGGGTACACGACTCTTGCCTTCGTTTTATATTTGAGATCAGCAGACGGGAGAGGATATCTCACTCTCTTGCATGGGTTGGTTGGCTAGATATGTCATGACGCAGGAAAGTAATGGTAGAATGAAAAGGAAAGTACGTTGGTAGATGCAAGGATTTCATTAATAGTATTCTGCCTAGTTATGTTACCAACCACCACAGGAGGATCCGCAAAATACTCCGCTAGAGCAGCAGTGTCAAGAGTGGGTAGATTTGTGGGAGACTCTATAACACCAAGTGATTGTTTTCTAAAATGTCTTATGAGTGGCTCCTGACAACCTCTGACAGTAGTGCAATCTTTTAGCGTTTAGGATGATTTTTAGTGTTGTTGATTTAAGAAAATCAGTCTCTTTGTTTATCGAATTGAAAATGAAAGCTTGATTTTTGAAAAGATTTAGAGTATACACCCTTGAAAACGTTAACTCGTAGTAAATTATGATCGAAGCAAGGGCAGAGGCAGAGAGTGCGAACCGCAATCAATTAGGGCGCATTCCCTAATCCCCTTTGTTCTGCCGGTGGCGGTATAGCGACGCGGCACCCCCTCCCGATTGGAAGCGACGGGGGTAGCGTCCAGGGGTGTTGCGGAGGAAATGGAGGTGGCGGTTGCGAGAGACCCTTTGTGCACTAATCTGGTTACAGGCCGACGACGCGTCGCTGCTGCCCTCTGGCGTGTCCGCAATCAATAGCCAGTCAAAGAAAGAATTCTCTTTTAGATAACTTTTCTTAGCTCCCTTCAGAAATTATTTACGTTATAAAGAAGAAATTTATTACACTAAGTTATACTCTAAAATCTAAGTTATACACATCTTCATAGGTTTAACATCACATTTTTACATGTATTTGATAATACATGATTGTATAAGATAATATTTCGGCTTTACAATTTTTGATGTAAGAGTTGAGTTGGGTTAGATTAGGTTGGGTTGGACGAAAAGATGGGCATCCAAAAATGAATAAAGAAAGGTTTGAAGATGTAGAAATAGAGACTATGTCAATATGGAAATAAAGATTGAAAATCCGATTGAGATTCAATCCAGTTAGCACGAACATGGATAAAAAGATCTAAAAAATGTTTGCAAAAAAATACTCCGACTATAAACACATTACGGAATCGGTAGGCTTTGTTGTACAAACATACAGAGAAGCACTCTAGGCAACGTGAAATCAGTCTAAACCCCATTTACTTGTCAGTAGAGAAAGTGCTGGTGTAGACTAACACGATAATGCAGGGGAGCAAGAATAGACCTATGTGATATTACCTGTGACACTTGTATTTATGTAGGGTAATGGTACCTGCTGTTTTAATGAGAAGTTTGATATTAAAAAGTTTGAACAAACCATTAGAACATCGTAGCTAGATGAGAAAATCTTTATGGAGATCTGTATAGGAACAGGAAAACAACTGTATGCTGGTGGAATGAAAAGTATAATAAATTGAGAAGATTGTTGGCGATGTAAAGAACTAAATACAGAGATGGAAAGATTACTAAAAAGGAAATATGTAACAAGGGCAAAAAAGATCTGCTGCACGAAATGTTGATCAGCAAATAGTTCAAAAGGAAAGAACGTTGGGATGAACTTGATTATGATGTCTGGGGAAAGCATATAATAGTGAAAGGAAAGCTTACAATTTTTGAAGTATGTAAAAATTGTCTCAGGGATGAAAGATTCCCTCTGAAATGGAGAAGAGTTAATCTAGAGCTCATTGAAAGCACAAAACACTCTTCGTTTAGGTCGACCTATGTCACATTGATATCGTGAGGAAGCTTTTAGAGGTAATGACATGACTACCAATATGGCTTCTGATCTGGTTGTTCCAGATTATACAGAATTTCTGGAATGGAGTGAATTAAGGTAGAAAATATATTTAACTGGCCCTCGGTAAACATTTTGTGAAACAAACCTTGTGAAAATCAAACCGAAGAAAGTATTGAATCTTTCTGTACAATTTTTTAGGGGTTCATAATAAGTCCAATAGTATGAAATGTTTATGATAATGTTCTGACTTTGTAATACTGCGATCAATCAGCTTTTATTTAGGCTCTATAGTCATAACCTCATACTGTTATGATGGTTACAAATCGTCTCTAAGAAATCGCAATTAGATAACTACAAAAACAACGGCACTGCTTCAATCTTGTGTGTGGTGCCAACCTAAAGCAAAGTGATAAGATATTTACTGCATTAAGCAAAAATTGCTGCAGGCTGAAAAGGGGAAGTTGTCCGTAGGAGTGTCATCAGCATATCGTACAGTGACTACCGCTACAATAGCAGTGATAGCGGCCTGTAGATCTGTTGGTAATGAAAAGGGAGTCCATTTAAGAAATAGGGAATGCTTAAAAAGCCGAAGTTAATCATAACTTTAAGAATAAATGGTACGAGAGGTGGTGGATCTATGCTGGATGAAATATTTTAGATATAAAAAACGTGGAAAACTGGAAACAAGTAAATTCGTTTAACGGAATTTCTTGCTCGGACATTTATAGAGAACTCTTGGCAGAGATCTCACTTATGCCATGATAGTGGACTAATAAATAAATCAGATAAATTACTGCTAGTCACTAGCTGCAGGTATCAATGTAAAATCGACTGCGTGCGAGAGAAGACACATAAAGTGGCAGAATTATATTAGATTTCGCAATAGTGTTTGAATTGAACAAAGTTATTAAAATTACTAAACGAAAGGATGAATCAATCTAGGAGAAGTGATCCAACATAATTTTTGGAAAGACGTTTATAAAATTGCGAATATGAGTACATAATCTAAAGCCCACTTGCAGCAAGAAGCTAAAGACAGTTCTCATGCTTGTAACAATAGATGCAAAAAATGTTATCAAAAACTTCCGATCGGAGAAAACAATGAAAAACATAAATGTTTACCCCAATTTATAATGGAAATTATAAAGGCCAATTTGAGCAAGAAAGAAGTGATTTACGACCGAAAGGAATATCCAATGAAAAGGGAGTTAAACAAGGTTCAGTGTTGTGGCAGTTTCTTTGGGTAACATTTTATTACGAGCTGCTTAGAAAAGGGAACGTATGTTTGGTGGTGAATGCAGTTCTGACATGTTGTGGTCGTTGCAATCCTCTATAAAGATGTCTTAAGAAGAAAAAAATGACTGTGTGCATGGAATGAAAAGATTTAGATGTTGCTCATGAATGGATTAAGTAAATAGCTAAGATTAGACCGCCCATAGAAAAGAAACACTTAAGAAGTGGCACAAGATGGTCTATTTTGGCGAGTTAGTGACGAGAAAAGCCAAATAAAGAAGAGCCGGGTACCGGATATTCAGCATCCCCTTCCTCCGGATATCCGGTTATCCGGCATATCTATTCGGCCATTATGGTTATAATTTCTGGTGCATTTCTGAAGTGATACCCTACACTGCCACATTATTGCGATATTTGAATGAAAATGAAATTAATAAGAAAGCTGATAAGATGTGTCAACTTATTTGGATCCAAGATACAAAATGATTTTTTTTGATGCTGATTTAACTAACGAAGCAACTCTAAAAAGAGGATACTTTAATTAATAATTGATGATATTTCCACAAGGATTCTTCAAGAAATCAATTTTATAGCGAATTTTGAAAGTTATCGATGAAAATTGTAACATCGAAAATTTTATCAAAACTTCAACTATTGTTTTCTCAAAAACGAAAAGTTGTTTTTCAAAACGTGTTGGTGCATTGGAAAGAGGACACTTTTATTAACACTTTGGGAAATTTTCATACTCATATTGCAAGAACTGGATTTTACACGAATTTTTAAAACTTAATCGGTGAAAATTGCAAACTTCGACAAAATTCTCGATCATTTCAAAAATTTATTTCTCAAGAACTAAAAGTGATTTTTCAAAACGGTTTATTGCATTAAAAAGAGGATACTTTAATTAATAATTGGTGATATTTCCACAAGGATGCTTCAAGAAATTAATTTTTTAGCGAATTTTGAAAATTATCGATGAAAATTTCACATCGAAAATTTTATCAAAACTTGAAATATTGTTTTCTAGAAAACGAAAAGTTAATTTTCAAAGCGTGTTGGTTCATTGGAAAGAGGACACTTTTATTTACACTTTGGGAAATTTTCATACTCATATTCCAAGAACTGGATTTTACACGAATTTTTAAAACTTAATCGGCGAAAATTGCAAACTTCGAAAAAATTCTCGATCATTTCAAAAATATTTCTCAAGAACTGAAAGTAATTTTTCAAAACGGCTTTTGCATTAAAAAGAGGATTCTTTAATTAATAATTGGTGATATTTCCACAAGGATCCTTCAAGAAATTAATTTTTTAGCGAATTTTGAAAATTATCGATGAAAATTTCAACATCGAAAATTTTATCAAAACTTCAAATATTGTTTTCTCAAAAACTAAAAGTTATTTTTCAAAACGGGTTGGTTCATTGGAAAGAGGACACTTTTATTAACACTTTGGGAAATTTTCATACTCATATTCCAAGAAATGGATTTTATACGAATTTTTAAAACTTAATCGGCGAAAATTGCAAAATTCGAAAAAATTCTCGATCATTTCAAAAATTTATTTCTCAAGAACTGAAAGTAATTTTTCAAAACGGCTTTTGCATTAAAAAGAGGATTCTTTAATTAATAATTGGTGATATTTCCACAAGGATCCTTCAAGAAATTAATTTTTTAGTGAATTTTGAAAATTATCGATGAAAATTTCATATCGAAAATTTTATCAAAACTTGAAATATCGTTTTCTCGAAAACGAAAAGTTATTTTTCAAAACGTGTTGGTTCATTGGAAAGAGGACATTTTTATTAACACTTTGGGAAATTTTCGTACTCATATTCCAAGAATTGGATTTTCTACGAATTTTTAAAACTTAATCGGCGAAAATTGATAAATTCGAAACTTTTCCGATTATTGCCGGATATCCGTTCCACCACTACTAATTATTATATCTATGATTAAATGATGTCTTTCAGAACTTTCAGTGGCAGCGAGGCCCTAGACAAAATGCATAAAAGTGGTTCATAAAGGGATCTTCGGAGTACGAGCAGCTTTGGATGTTAATAGATGAATACAAGACATACCTGATGGCGTTAAAAAAAGGCCTGTCAACATTGAAGGTTCTGCATGATAGTGATTACAGACATCAAAAATGCTTTTAGCTAGGCACCTTGAACCGAGATCATAAAAGCTTTAGACTTGTGCAAATATATGAAATGAATATTATCCTACTTATTCCAGAAAAAATTCGTGGTACAAAGTAGATGATAAAATTAGCTATTTGAAATAATATGTGGTGTACGTCAAAGGTCAATATTGGAAGCGACACTCTAGAAAGTCTAGAATGTGTTCCATAATAAAAATTATAAAAATGCTTGAGTTTGCCAATACGAATTGAAGTTGATCTCGTCAAAGAACAACAATTGTCACAGTTGAGGGGCCAAATACTATAAACTCGACTATCATGATCATGCATCTTGAAGCTGCTATTATATGCTTATCCTCCGGAAAACAATTCAGTAAACTTCTAAGCATAAACTAAGTTGTTACTAAGTTATTTTGATATAGTTAAAAGTAAAAATGTTAGAGGTCGTTGATGAAATGAGAAGTTAGGTACAACAAAAAAAGATAACGAGTAGGATTTAATGTTGGATGCCGTAAACTGCAGATGGTTATATAACGGGCGAGAAATTTCCGTCACTGATGTAACGGTAAGGGCTCAACTGCGGGGTTAAGGACGACGTATTCCCGGAACGTAGGACATGTGTTCAAGTGGAATCACTTTATTTTATATATACCGGCTCATCCCCGACGTCCCGTGGGACCCCTAGGGAATCATCTGGCGGGGCGGGACTCAACTATTGGAAAGCCATTTCACCGCGAAACGGTATCGACGCCCTTCCACCACCCAGAATTGGATGAGATTCAAAAATCTGTGTTTCAAACTTCGATCTTTTCCGTTATTATCATCATTTTTTATCTTTTTTTTAACACTTTCATTAATATTTTTTTTTCATAATCCCAAAAATCTTACCTGTAGATTAACTTTCTTCTTACAGAACGTTTAAAAAATCCTGAACATCCATTACAAGCTAAAATCCCATAATGTTTCCCAGAACTCGTATCTCCACAAACAACACAAATCAACCCTGGAGTTCCTTTTTTCGTTGGTAAACTCCAAGGTGGTGGCGGAGTTCTTGAAGCTTGAACCAAGGTTTGTGAAGATGGTAAACATAACGAAACTGGATGATCCGTTTCAGACGAAGAGTAACATTCGACGCTATTTGGCGATGTTCTCACTTCTAAAAATCGAATTAAAAAAATAAACCACTTTTAAATCAATGACATGCAAAAAAAACTTTATTGATTTCAGTAAATTTGTGAAATTAAATAACGTGAAAGTGTCGGGAGTGTAATTTGAACGGATTAGTGTACAGTGTGGGGGTGTCGTTCGTGTGGGGGGTTGTGCTCGCGAGCAAGTTGACATATGGGACGTGGCTGCTCCCATTCAAATGAAAATCAAGCCGGTCGCACTTGATTAATACTCTAACGTCAATTTGACTGGAAGCGATTCAGCGGCGGGATGCTGCGCTTAAATCCAGGTTTAGATTTAGGCCGTGAGATGGATAACAGCACCCCCTGAAAAGAGGGTGCTTCGCTTCACTCTCAAACGAATTAACAACCGCTTTACAATATGTTGTTTATCATTTTTATTATAATAAGTTGATTTTATTGAAGAAAACAAAGTTTTTATGCATTAAGAAAATTTATTTAAGGAAGAAAAGTCTGAAAAAATCATAAATTTTAAGTTACCAATTGTGGGTTCTGCAAAAGATAAAAAAATTTAACATCGAAACACATCATTTGTAAATCGATTTTAAGAGTGTCTATGACTCAATATTTAGAAAATTTTTAGACACACTTAATTCTGCTAATAGAAAAACCAGTAAGGGTGGAAAGCATAGTAAGAATACAAAATGAAACAACACCAAGGTTCGGAATAAATAAAGGGTACCGTCATGTATACTGCTCAACATGAGAGGCACAATTACCAACACAAGCGTGCCAATGCTGGCTTTTGCTGATAACATTGACAACATTGCAAAGTTAAGAAGATTCATGATAGAAGCATTTTACCTACTAAAGAAAACAGCGCAGAAAAATGGGTTAAAATGAAACTCAAATTAATCAAAATATATGTACACATCAACAAAACATCTGCAAAACTTGTCCATAAAAGAGTATAACATCGAAACTGTAGAAGCATTTTGTATTAACCTGGCCTCACTGATCACTTCGAATAACTACACCGTCGAAGAGACCAAAAGAGGAATTCTTGTAGCAAAGAAAACTTATTACAGGCTGATGGCCCAATTAAGATCTATCACTTTGACAAGAAAAAAAACGTCAAATATCTAAAACTTTCATACTACCTGTTCTAGGGTATGGATTTGAAACTTAGGTAATGTTCAAGAACAACGAAACATTGCTAGCGACATTCAAAAGAAAGATCCAATGGCCAATGACGAACACCAGACATGTAGAGAGAATGAAAAGTGCTCAGAGGATGGCCCAAGACTAGATACGTTGACTAGGTGGAAAAAGATATTAAATCCTTCAATGTTATCAATTATAGAAGCAAAATGAGAAATCGCAATGGATGACAGAGGCTCGCAAAAAAGGCTAAGACGTACAGAGTCTTATCATAGCATCGATAATGATGATCTCACACAGCTGAGATAAATTATAGCTGAGATCGCTTATAGCCAAGCTTTATTCTAGATCGACAAACATAAAACGAGGTTGAGGTATTATTATTATTGCTGCCGGGCTGAGGGGAGCGGCCCCTCTCGTTACAGCGACCTATAGGATTTATTGTAACTTAAGTATAAAATTTATTGTAACTTAAGTCCTGAGCTGTACATTGAATGTTAATGCTAAATGGCAAATATATACAGATGGCCAGAAAAGATAAAAACTTTTATACAGGGTGCTCATGTAGCCATAATAAAATTTAGAGACAGAAGCCGAAATTGCATGAGTTCGAAATAGTACTTCTAAAACTGATAAAGAAAAAACTTGCACATAGTAATTATTCATATATCCCAAAGACTTGAGAGTATATCCATGAAATTTTTATGCAATACACTTGAAATCAAGATCAGATTCATCCCTTGCAATAGTCTTCATTTGGAAATTATCGGCAAAATATAAATTAGCTAGCCAAGTTAAATCCTTTTGTGTCATGAACAATTTGGTTGTGCATCAATCAAACACATAGTCCACATACACGGTGGTTACTATAACATTAATTAAATTGGCCATAACACTGTTAAAGTTCCGCCATGCTTACAAATCCTCTGTTGTTTGGCTGAGATAAATTATAGCTGAGGTCGCTTATAGCCGAGTCGGTGTATTCTACATCGACAATTATAAAACGAGGTTGAGGAATTATTATTATAGCTACCGGGTTAAGGGGAGCGGCCCCTCTCGTCACAGCCACCTATAGGATGTATTGTAACTTAAGCATAAGATTTATTATATCTTAAGTCCTGAAGTATACATAGAATATTTATGCTAAATGGCAAATATATGCAGATGTCTCAGCCGTAAGCAACCACGGCCAGCAAAAATAAAAACTTTTAACCTTGATACACAAATATCTCATCTATAACAGGGTGGTCATGTATCACCTAATAATTATTCATATATTCCAAAGACTTGAAAGTATACCCATAGAATTTTTATGCAATATGGGTCTCAATAGTCTTTTGTTGTAATAATAGTCATTTGTTCATCGTCATCTCTTTTTGTGTCACGAACAATCTGGTTAAACATATAGTCCACATACACGGTGGTTACTATAACATTAATTGAATTGGCCATAACAGTGTTAATCTTCTGCCATGCTTACAAATCCTTTGGTTTTGAGGTTCGACATCTCGGCAGCTGATCAATGAAAGGATTTGTGGTAAACTTTGCTGAACTTATTCAACATTCATATCCAATATAATATGCTAGGGCAGAACAACACTGCAGTTCATGATAAAGACTGACAATAAAAAAATCAATTATGAACTGTTGTTTGTAAGCGGGCGCGACTAACATAGAAAACGAAACCATAATATCTTAAAAAAATCCATTGGGAAGCTATGTTAATACAACTCTAAACAAATAGACTTCACATTTTCAAGTTATTAAAATAATTACCAGAATAATATTGCTTCGATTTCTTCTCTTCGAAGATTAGTTGCAGCGTTTCTAATCCTTTGAATTATAACCTGTCTCGTTGTAGGATTAGTTTGATGGATCAGGTTTTTTAGTTCTCCCCAAAAATTAAATGAAGATCTGGATATCTTGCTTGAAGCTAGGAGAATTTTTGGAATAATCGCAAATAACTCTAAAAATATTGTAGTTGATATCTGTAATGTTGGATATATCTTCAAATTTCCAACGAAACGTTTTCCAAAAATATTGAGAATTAGTTGAGAAATCCCAACGTAACCCAATATACTACTCCCAACATTTATTGATCTTTAGATCAGAAACGCATATCATAATACTAATTACTGAGCAAATAGAGAAGTTGAAAAATTAGAGATTCACAATAAAAAATACTCTAAAAATTTGTTTGACACACAATAACAGGAGATGGTGAGGAGAGATTTTGGTTTCACCTAGTTTTATTTCACCTGGTTGATGAGGATGTCTACTGACAATTCATATAAAGAACATTTTAGCATAATCATATAAGCATATCAAGCATATAAGAAAGAAACTTCAAGAAACCCGAGGATTGAACTGAGATAATTGTTAGAAATCATTTAACTTTTTTGATAGTAAACATGTACTCCCAAGGGATGATTTCATCTAAACTACCACTAGGGTTGATACCCTCCATCCCAAAAATGATTCCCCATCCATCCAGAAATCGACCACTCCATCAATTAATCACGGCTTATAAACGGCATTAGGCCAGAGTAATTGTGATTTAATTTTCTCTGCCACATGGTGTACGACACGGGGACCTGTTGTGTCGTGTCGAAGGACAAAACACAATGGGATTTCGTGGGGAACGCGGGCGCGAACCCTACGGAACGACCCCGAAGGATAATTCGCCACCGTATCCTCTCTTTCCTCACAATACAGATTAATACGAGAGGAATTACCAATGCCGACGGCGCCCCCTTTTTGAAAGAACTAATGCTTAATCCCCGGTATCAATCGAGAACTCTTTGCATATGGTGCAATTTTTGGACGCTATACACCCTAAATCATAATTTCCTCCCTATATGAGTATAACCAAAACGTGAATGTTGAGTGTGGCTGGATGTAGGGTTGATTTAATCGGAAGATTATGGCATAAATATTATATTTAATAAGTTAATGGATGGTGTTAGTGTTAGTGTTGGGGGTGACTTATTGAATGGGTTTAATTTTTTAACGATTATTAATTTTTTTTTCTTACCTGAATTATGAAGTCCAGGAGATGAGCAACTTTGATGTAAAGGAATTAATGGAGTAGGTTGCGACACAGAACAATCCATAGCCATCGCACCACAAAAATATATCACTTAAATTAAAAAATTAACAAAAAAATAATAATTAAGGTAGTTTTTAACTCGTTGTTTTAGCTCACGAAAATTAATTTAGGGGTGGATTATCGAAAATTGTGATAAGATAACGTGAATGTTTCCGGATGCTGTGTTTGGATTGTAAGCAGGGCGCAGAATGAACAGAAACGTTTGGCGGATGCCCGGCCCCCGTGATTCGCATTTAGGAGTAATCTGGGGGCGGGATTTAAGCTTTGCCACCCTGTGTTTAACTTCTAACCGTTTGCGCGGCTGCGCCACCAGACCTGCCTGCTGCCATCTACCCCCCCGATTCGAACACTTTCCTTCAGGACAAAATATCCAACATCTTGAGAGAGAAACAGAGCCTCTTTCTCTCTCACACACCACGTTTTCATCCCCTTTCCATACTCACCACTCTACATCAATACGTCTTAAGTTAACATTAAGAAATATATTTAAAATCACATATAGCATTTTTAGTATTGTATAAAGGAGGGTTGGTGTTATTGGTGTGTATGGTGGGTGGAGGGGTTAAAATAAACAAAAGATTTTGCTGGTGGTCGAAATCGGGGAGTCCTAGATTGGTGGGGGTTGATTTGTGAGTCGTGGTGGTTGCTGCGACAGCCATGCTATTGGACGGGGTGAGTTAATCCCATTGGTCTGACGTGGTGTTTAGTTAGGGGTTGGTCCCGCCCATCGCGACGCGTCGTGACGTACCCCCATGGACCCGGGGATCCAGGTGTGCTACGGACTTCGGTGCTTTGTCCCCAACAACATCGAATCCCACACAACATCACCAGGTGGAAGAACTAATAACATCCTCAAAATAATATTCAATAGTAGTCTGTTATCAAAAGAAGGCAAAGTTAATTTCATGAGAAGTAGTATACAGTGTGTTAATTAAATATCGTACCCGTCGTCATCATTGCAAGTATGCAACCAACATCACAGTATTGGTATTGCAATACGCAAATTGCGTATAATCACGTAAATCGCGTGATATTGGTTGCATTATAGTATAAAATATATACATTATTTATATATATATAAAGGAAATTATAGCAAAAAGTGTAAGCAACGCCAAATGTATATCTCAACACCTCCCCTTTTATATACAACGTAATTATGCAAAAAACTAAAACTCGATTTAAACACAAAAATTTTCATGTATAAATATAAATTTTTTTAATGCCTCTTCGCACACTATTCTCTCATCCATTCCACATTTCTTCTCCATCCATCTTTTTTTGTGCATTAAAATCCATCCCCTAACTGCATTAAACACGACTCGTACACACAAATACGTCGTCAAACGGAACTGAAACGGACGAGGAAATTTAACGAAACGCGAATGAATGACAAACTGTCCAGGGGTGTAGGCGACGGACGACGAGCTGGAAATTAGAGGATGAGGTATGTTGGGTTTGTGAATCTCGGTTACAGTTTGCACACGCCTAATTCGACGTTATTAATTAATAGGGTTGTGATTTCCCGTTCCCACCCCCGTTTAACAGTTACGGAAATTTACGCTCGATGGCAGTGAATCCGAACCATTCCGTCTGTTACGTGCACACCTGCGTTGGTGTGCCATGAAACAAATTCCCTCCCACACAAGATAGGGGGATGAAGCTAACTTTAACCCCTTTCCCGATAAAAACGAAAATAACATTTGGCCATCCCCAATAATCGGACGAAACGTAATGTTGAGGATCGGTGGAAACGTGAAAATAGGGGGGAGGGGTGTATTTAAAGGGTGGGCATCCCCCCGAAACTACAGTAGGTACGAGAGGGGATATTTTGGAGGTAGGGTGGTTGCTTTGATGTCGCTCCGAATGACAAATATATTAATGGGGATGCGATTTGGGTGGATGGCAGGTTAAAACGGGGTAAAGAGGGATTGGGGGTGCTTTTGATGTAATTAATTTCGATTGCTATTGATTTGGAGTATATCAAAATTATGCCCGCATGTTCGGTGCGATTTCGAGTTCGCTAACTGGAATTAGTATAAAAACGAAATGTGAATTATAAATAGGGTATGCGACGTGAATTATTAATTAATAAATAATTAATGTCATAACGATAAAAAACATAAAAATGTATACTGTTTAAATTTATTTATTAACATTTGTTGCGATTAAATCTAATTCTTTCGTTGATAATCTTTGTTAAAAATATTAAAATCTTTATTTACAGTCAGGTTTATTGATGATAATAGATTTTAACAGATAGCGATGCTTCATAGAGAAAAAGTAGGTAGTAATGTAGTTTATTTGTTGACATTTAAATCAATAAATAGGGTTTAAAAGCAATTTTATTTTATATATGATATATTATATCAAAGTTGACAGAAAATCATTTAAAAAAACTGCATAATGAACGTTTTTAATTACGAGGAAATAACTTAACGAGCTTCTACTTTATCTATCGACTCTTCACATTTTTTCATTATTTTGCTTGGCAATGAGTCATTTTATTAGTACCTGATCAACAAGCTTCGTTAAGTTAATTGAACTTTGAAAACAACAATATGTATTGGATTTCCAGTAACACTCTCACGAACAGCTTCGATATTTTCTTTGTTAAACGACTTGTATATAGCAATATCTATCAGATATGTATCTTTTTACGGTTTCAGTGTTGATACGATATTTGAAATGCTAAGGTTCACAACCTTGTTGGTGATATTTCTGACCCAATACAGTTTTGCATACTCAGTTCTAAGAATAAGCTCTGATATAGGGCAAATGAGGGAGTAATGAACAATTTTTGTTTTCTTATTTGCATCAAAATGAGGCATCTCTTCCCAACAATCTAGGAGAAAGGCCGCCTATATTGAGGTGAGAAGCCATACTAGTCATGTCATTGTTAACCACCAGAGTTTTTCATCATTTCAATCATCTGCCTGTGTAGTTTTTTCATATGCTTTAAAACACTGTAACCATAGGCAGTTATCATATTAATGTTTCATAAGATAACTTTTACTAAATTTTCTTTCATCGAGTGTCCTTTTTTTCTTATTCTTCTTGATTCAGATGTGCTGGAATTCCAGCAACACATTTTTCTTCTTCCTCACATGATGTTACTGTATACTTTGGTAGTTTTTGATTCAACCTGCGCTCTTCTTTAGGCTTTTGCTTTCCTTTTTTTTGCACTTTTACTACATTTTCTAGATCCCTCAATACCGCTGCCAGCAGTTTACTCCTTTTGTTAACAGTATTCTTATTTTTGGAACAAGACAAACTTCGTACAAATTCTTGGTCAGTGTAACGTTCTCTTTGCTCTGCGAAAAAGAAGTATTTGTTTAAGATTCGTCAATGCTAATTGTTCCACTTGCTCCGTGTGGTACATTTAGCGAAAAGTACTTGCTTGAAGTTCGCTGGTGTTCATATGTTATGGGCCAAACGATATGGGATCGTATTAGAGTTAAGTGGGTAGATTAAAAATATTCTCAAATTAAAAAAATTTGTTACTAGTTATGCGCCTTTAGTAATTATAGATATTTATCTTTTTCAAATATTATTTCATCTCTTGAATTTGTTACATGTGTTAGGGATTTCAATATTAATGACTTGTATTTGAGCAACGTCTGGTGAACGTTTTATCCTCATCATTGAACAATTTAGTTTCCGGTAGTTAATCACGGAGGCATCGTGTTTGACCCGATCTTCGGGTGCTTTGCTTGACTTTACTATACCCAACACAGATGCCCCGATTACAAATTCATGCGTTACTGAATTACATAATGTTTTATATGTAGCAGGTGCTCTTCGATTGATTAAAGCTGACGAATAACTCTAGGTTCAGGATAGGAAAGTGTTTGTCGAATTGCTCGCTGGATTCTAAAAAGTTTGTCTTGGGAGTTAGATTTCAGTATTGATATTGTATTTAGCGGTGTTTCTTAGCTGGAAGTGATGTCCATGAGTATCCGAAATTTACTGTTGTTGTCTTAGGAAAACACTTGGATGGAGTTTGAAAGGTACTTGAATAAACTTAGGTTACATTAAGGAGTCCCCTATGATAGCTTCACAACAAATAACGATAGCGTTCAAGGAAATTGCAAGGTATCTTGGAGGCAAGCTGTTATCAAAGGGAACAATTCATCTGATCATATTTATTTCCAAAATCAATTCATAAGTTTATGTTGTTGTTTATACTGAGTGCTTCTAAGTCTGTATCAAGTGATGCAATTTTAGCTCTCGCGGCTAAGCTACCACTCGATTTGTTAATCTAAAGGTGGTGAGGATTTTATTGTCATGGGTTAACAAGGATGATCAGGAAATTATTAGGTGTTCTAAAAATACTGGTGATGACCAATAGGCAATGGGAGGTTGAGACTAGATTTTGTGAGAGGTTCATATAGAACGGGGAGAAAGTAAAGATAGTTTGGGGTGTATTCGGGAAAACTATGGTTTCTATATATGTGGTGTGTGAATGATTTGCGTTATATTTGAAGCAGCTTTATAAGAGTACATAAATTTTATTTAGTGTTACCTTGCCCTAATAAATTATGGGAATAATTTGAACCCAAGATATATACCTAAGGGATACACAGCTCAAAAATACCAGTACAATATAAAATTGACAACGAATGCAACGATGCATCATACAAAAAGAAATGGTCATCTTACGGATCATATCATCAAGTAGCAACGAGAAAGTCGAGAAAGAAATTTCTCAGCTTTATCCTATTTGCTCTGTAGTAGTAAGTCACCTTAGCATATACATAAACAACAGGAGGTGTTTTTTTATTCTCTTTATCTCTTACTTGATATTATTAGTCGGTAATGCTTATTACGAGGTTTGTAACATGTCGTGTCACGCCAATCAGGAATTCTCCCATACTGGGTTGTATTTATTCATTTGTTCAAAGATAAATATAAATATTTTGAATTGTTTATTTTTTTTTTTGTTTATTTTGTCTTTACCATTTCACTAAGTGTCAGTATAGCGTTGGGGTGTTGTTGGGATCCTCTATCTATCTCCTAAACTTGTGATGAATGTTGTAGCAGTTATTACTATTCTATGATCTGTAATAGTTTTAATGTCTTGTTCTGTATATCTCTGTAATCTTGTGTATATTACATAATCTATTACTGATTTTTGTGTTATTCCTTTGGCTTTATACATTATATTGTGTACTGTTCTATGATTGTAGAAGGACTTTCCTATTAACCTTCCAGTAGTCACCCACGGTGTCAGACACCGGGTGATTAA